GATATGCTATCACCACTTCTGGATATTCATTGAATGACGTGTTGATGTCTGGCCCAAAGTTACTACATATTCTCTTTAGGTTCCGATGCCATCGGGTGGCCATTACTGGAGATATTTGTAAAATGTATCGTTGCGTCAGGGTTTTTCCTGAGGACAGCTATCTTCAGTGTATTCTTTGGCGGGATTCCACCCAGGATGAGTTACAGGTTTTTAAGCTGGAAACGGTCACCTATGGAACGAAGCATGCCTCATTTTTAGCAGTTCGGACAATGCATCAGTTGGCAGATGATGAGCAATTAATGTTTCCAAAGGGGGCCGAAATTCTGCGTCGCGACTTTTATGTGGATGATCTGCTTTCCGGAGGCGACTCTATAGATGAAGCTATTAGCATAATGCAGCAAACATCCGCGATCCTTGCCAAGGCCATTTTCGGTTAAGGAAGTGGTGCTCCAATGTTGCTGACGTGCTGGATAAGGTGCCTGAAGAAGCTCGGGAGTCTTTCCTAAGGTTTGATGATGGCAGTAACTTCACAAAAACACTGGGTCTTGCTTGGGATCCTGCAACTGACCGCTTGCTATTTTCTTTTGAGGGGATTCAGTTAATCTCAAAGCCCACTAGGCGCATTGTGCTTTCTTCAGTCGCTCGGCTTTATGACCCCTTAGGCCTTGTTGGTCCTGTAATTTCAAAGGCAAAGATCTTTCTCGAGAAACTGTGCCGTGAGAAGTTGTCCTAGGATGAAAGTCTTCCTCAAGCTCTTCACTGCGACTGGTATATGATTTGTAGCAGCTTTGTTAGTACGCAGCGCGCCGAATTCCTTAGATGGGTGCTAACATCGAAATCCGAGGTGGAGGTCCATGGATTCTGTGACGCCAGCATTGAGGCGTATGGGGCATGCGTTTACTCTGTTCGAAGTCCCGAGTTGCGCCGTTAAAGACTGTTACGGTGCCGAAGCTGGAGTTATCGGGAGCCGAGTTGTTGGCTCGACTTATGTCGGAAGTAGAGCAGTTGAAGGTCTACGTTGGAAAGTATTTTTGCTGGTGCGATTCTGCTGTGGCTCTGTCTTGGATTCGAGAAGAACCCTCTCGGTTTAATTTTTTCGTCGTTAATCGAGTTTCGACCATTCAGAAGCTAACTAGAGAAATGGAGTGGCGGTATGTTCCCACTTCTTTGAACCCAGCAGATATCCTGTCGCGTGGTGCTCTCCCCAATGATTTGGTTGGGAATAAGCTGTGGTCTCACGGTCCTCCGTTTCTCATTGGATCCCAAGAGGCGTGGCCACCCGCGGTCCCATCTGAGAGATCAACCCTGGAGTTACGTGCAAGGGTCCTGCTCATTCAGTCTCCGTACGTGGATATAACAGTGGTTTCTAAGTACGCTAATTCGTTTCCAGCACTGCAGAGGGTATTTGCTTACGTATACAAGTTCTCTCAACGAATTCACCACAGCGGTGTTACGGCAAGCGATATAAAATCTGGAACACAGCTGTTATTGCGACTAGTTCAGCGTGTGCATTTTTTGGAGGGCATAAAGGCTCTTCAAAATGGAAAAGACATAGCGGTATCCAGTGCCCTTGCCTCATGCCTAAACAGTGCCTTTTTAAAGCTTCGCACTGTTAAAGTCAGCTGTTGCAGCCAAAAGGCACGTGTTTGAGAAGAGGCAGTTTTTGGTTAGCTACTTTGAAAGTGCGATACTTAAAAGTTAAACAAGTTATTAATTCAATTTATGATGGAAAACAATCATACTGGCTTGTATTATATGTTGGGTTTACTAATATTTTGCTATGTGCCTGTCTTAATAATATTTAGCCAATTTTAAAACAGGTCTAAAGAGTAATTTTTTAAAAAAAAATTAACTTTACCTAGACTTACAAAAAAAAACATATCGTTGCAACAGTGTAAGTTTGATCTATGTCGTAGAGCCATTAATTATGAATAAAAGGCAATTTGTCTCAATGTGCAAAAATGCGCACAATCTGCGTTATTTCGTTTTTTGTCAGGTGTCTTCGAGTTTTCGAACGCGGAGCTTGTTGAAGTATGGCGTAAGGAGACGGATAACTCAAACCAAGAAAGATCAATTCTTGATTTTATTTCGAGCAAAATAAGTAGAAACTTAAATATAAATGATAAATGGAAGATATGCAAGAAAATAAATAGTGAAAAAAAATAGAAAATATTTTGAGAAGAAGTTTGCAAATTGGCTGCAAATTCGGAATTTAAGTTATATTAATTTGCTTCATTTGAACAATTTTGTTTTAAAACTAGGGAACAAATTATGGATTGTTATCCATGGTTGCCAATGACGGCAACTTTTCACAAAATTATTGTCCACTCAAGGCAAAATTTGGAAAATACAATACTTCCCGTTGGCTATTTCGGAGAAGAAGCGTCGGAAGCACGCAAAACAAGAAAGCAAAGCTAACTTCGGGCGGAGCCGAAGTTGATATACCCTTGCAGCTAAAACCGGATATATATCGCAAACATCGGATATAGTAGGCCGATCCTTATGAGAATAGGAATATATAATCCAATTTATTACAATACAAAATCTAAAAAAAGTCTCAAGCTTCTATCTTCAAAAATACCAAAGTTGGTATTTCTACCAAAAACCATTTCTGATCGTTCAGTTATATGGCAGCTATAAGATATAGTCGGCCGATCGTTATGAAATTTGGTAGGTCGGATTAACTGATTAAGAATATAATCTGTACCAAGTTCCAGCTTTCTATCTTCAAAAACACGAAAGTTGGGTCATTTCCGATCGTTCAGTTATATGACAGCTATAGGATATAGTCGGCCGATCCTTACGAAATTTGGCATGTCATAATGTTTTGCCAAAAATAGCTGTCATGTCAAATTTGAACTCTCTAACTCTAAAAACACAAAAGTTATACCATTTCCGATCAATCAGTTATATGGCAGCTATAGGATATAGTCGGCCGATCCCGGCCGTTCCGACTTATATACTGCGTGCAAAGGAAAGAAGGGTGTGTGCAAAGTTTCAGGACGATAGCTTTAAAACTGAGAGACTAGTTCGCGTAGAAACGGACAGACAGACAGACGGACAGACAGACGGACAGACGGACAGACGGACAGACGGACATGCTCATATCAACTCAGGAGGTGATCCTGATCAAGAATATATATACTTTATAGGGTCGGAGATGTCTCCTTCACTGCGTTGCACACTTTTGGACAAAATTATAATACCCTCTGCAAGGGTATAAAAATTTATAAAGCAGATAGACTGCATCACGCACGGAAGCATAGTCGTGTTAATAATTTCATGGATGTTTTCAACAGAGCCTTAGATACTTCTGATCCTGTTATTTCTTCAACGAACTCTATGAAACAAATTCGGAAGCGTAAAAGTATGGAACTTCCTTCAGAAGTTTTAAGCCTTTTATTGTGCAATTTTGAAGGCCAGGATCAAAATGAGAAAATTGGAGATGAAATTGACGATTTTTATTTTATGTCTGACGAAGACCTTGAGAATGAAAATATTTTATTAACTTATTAGTGTATTATTTGGTTTTCACTTTATCAATTTTTTTATATGAAATAAAAAAAATTGTTTCTAGTCCTGGGAGGGCGAATAATAAAAAAAAACGTTTTGAAAAATCTTATTTGTTTAAAAAGTTATTGATTAATTTATCCAAATGGGAGGGCGGAACCACGCCCATTTTACCAAAAAATATTTCCAACGATCTTCATAAGCCTAATAAAAAAAAGCGTTTCGAAAAATCTTGTTTAGTTTAAAAGTTAACAAATAATATTTCGTCAGGGAAGGGGCGGAGACACGCCCATTTTTCTAAAAACATTCCTATCGGTGTCTATGACAATAATAAAAAAACCGTTTCGAAAAATCTTACTTAGTTTAAAAGTTATTAATTAATACCATGAAATCGGCCAAATTCCCCATAGTGCACTGTAGCATGTTTCAAGCAGCATGTCAAAAGCAGTTATAGCTATTGGGGAAATTGGTCTCGTTTTATTCAGAATTAACGAGACAATATTGATATGTGTCAAAAATGATACCATTTCTTGGAAGTTTTACCGAAAAAATGGCGTCAAAGTCCAAAAAACACGACAAAATTTCAAAAATATCAGTTTCTTGTGGATAAATTTTATCCTTTTTGTTGAAATAAATTAAAGATATTTTTATCTACTTTTTTCAAAAGCTGCAACATTTAACCATTGAAAAACGTCAAAAATTTTAAAATCGGTTTAAAATTACGCACTTAGGAATTTTTAAGAGCTTAAAAGTCCCGAAAACCGGTTTTTCTAAATAAATCAAGATTTTTAGGGTGTTAGAAAAATTTTAAATACGGGTTTATACTATATTCGACCTAATAAACCATTCCTACTAGGTCTCTTCAAAAGTTCCTCCAATTTTTTTTTGTCACACTGTGTTATTGTTCCACTGCACCTTTATTGCAGCGGCTGATTTTTACTTCTCCTAGTCTTTCTCTATGCTACATACATTCACACGAATACAATATACCCTTGTATTGAGCGTTGAGCGTTACCTGAAAAAATCTATAAAGAAATAATGCTCAAAAGATCTTAACCAAATTATAATTTATTTAAACATAATCGAATGTATAAATAATAAATAAATAAATGGTATGTGAAAAAATTTAGAAAAGGTTTATAATTGTTTATATTCAAATTTCCATACTGTATTGATAAATTTTTGAGCGCATGGATTTCGGCTACTTAAAGAGAAAAACTAATCGATTTCGCGCGAATATTCCTGTTTGTCCACTTAGATCAACTTTGGGTTAGAATTTTTTCTTGTCCACTCCAGCCCCCGAAACTAAAACTATTTCGCAGGGTCAGTTTAAAAAGTATTGGCATATATGCAGTTAAGAATCGCAACTATAGTCGTCCTTTCTTGTTTAAATGACTGTGGTGACATTCCCTATATATCGACAGCTCGACGTCAAAATGCACGGAAATTTAGAAACAAAAGAGTACTTTCGAATAATTATTAAAAACAACTTTTTCAAGTTCAACGGCGGTGTTTTCATTCTAATTCAAAGCCGTTATTTATTTTGAACCGCAGTATTTATTAATTAAAGATAAGTCCTTTCCATCGTATATAATGCCTTCATAAAAAAACTTTCGATTTGTTCTACATTGAGGGCCGCATTTGAGAGAGCCACAATTGCGGCATTCGTACCAACAACCTTCACATTCTTCATTCATGCAGTCACCTGAAATGAATAATAATAAGTATATTATAAATACATATTTTATCATTTTTTCATCAACGTACCGAAAATATATAATAATATTAATGATAATAAAATATAAATAATATTAAATATTATTATTATTAAATATTTAATATATTAAAAATAAAAAAACTATAAAAATAATAAAAAATAATACTAATAGCAATATAACAATTTTAATACTTATTATAATATTTTAATATTATATTATTAAAATATTATTTATGTATATTATGTATATTGTATTCGTGTGAATGTATGTAACATAGAGGTAACATTCATCTTCGACCTTATAAACTTACTGACATAAAGTATATACTTCTATTTTTGATCAGCAACAACAGCCGACGCCACAACAGCCGTGGCTATCGTGGCTATCGTTCAGGAACGTGGCTATCGTTCAGGAACGTGGCTATCGTTCCTTTGTCCGTATGAAGGCGTGGATCTCATGAACAATAAGAGATACAGCTATAGCATTTGTGGACAAAAGATGTGGCCACCGCAAAACTTTTTTACTTTTAGGCGCTTAAAAAAATTTATGCTTGCCACATTTGCTAATATTTTGAATCGTCTCTTGAACGTCTTGACAAAGTAAAACACCGGGGACGAGCTCGGATGTCACTCCAAAATACTAATTTTGGAGTCCACTAAGCGCACCGCCCATACAACTTTCTTACAGAGAACTTCTTATTTAAAATTAATAAATGCAGACAGGGTTTATTATATTGTTTATTTTATGTCGAAACTAAAAAAAATCAATTGAAACCGAACATGTTTATGTACCGTCATGATTTGGTTTTTAGAAACCAGATTGTCCGAGATATGAAAGATATATCAAAAAATGGTCATCTCAAGGACTATTGAAAACAACTTTTATTTCTGTCTATTTACTTTTTCTTACTTTTTAACGATATCTTGATACTTAAAAAGCGCCTCCAACTGATGTTGGCATGTTTAGATAGCTTCATTGGCTTTAAGGTTAAGTTTTTCAATACAAAATTTTTTTAATTCTTTAACGTATTACTTACAGAATTTAAAAAAATTTTAATATTAAATAAAAGCTATCTTCGGACCCTTGCAGTTAAGGCCGGAAATATATCGCAAACATTAAATATAGTCTGCCGATCCTTATGAGAATATCATAATATAACCAAATTATTACAATAAAAAATACAAAAAAAACTCCCAAGCTTCAAGCTTCCCAAAGGACACGGTCTTTATATCGGAAACAAATTTCGCACCAAAAAGTAGCAGTGCTACAATTTCTTTAATCACAGCGACAACCACTGCAATTCAATGTACCGCGACGTCAACAACTACAGCGAGTACAAAAACAACAACTTCGGAAAGTGCCAGAGCGGCCCCGGCCACACAGACTGGAATGGGTCGCTACATCCTAATAAGGCACAAGCTTAGCCCGCAGAGTAATCCGGCAGGCAATGAAACAACAATTAACCGTGTCCTGAAGATCGAGACAGATCCACTAGTAACAGATTTGCCCTACTGGCGGAGGTTGAGGAAAACCAACCAGCCCAAGACACCGCAAAATAACCCAAGCCCCCTCCAATTTATATCAGGGAGAAAAGCTCGAGTGCCCTGGTTATCCGAATTGCGGCGTTGATCGGGAACGGTGACAACTTTCATGTTGTCCCGCTTATCAAAGGGAACATCCATGAAACAAAGGTACAAACCAAGACTGAAGAGCACTTCCGAATCGTATCCAATTATCTGGACAGTGGTCAGAAAAACTATTACCCGTACCAGCTGAAAAGCAGTAAGGGCCTACAAGTGTTAGTAAAGTGAATCGAACCCGATGTTACTGCCGCGGAAATAAAAACCGCCCTTAAAGAAAAGGGCTTTGCCGCCAAGAATGTTATTAACATTCTAAATAAATATAATAAGCCACAACCCCTCTTCAAGGTCGAGATCGAGCCAGAAAGCAGGTCGCTGAAGAAGAACGAAACCCACCCAATCTACAAGCTGCATATCCTTTGGATCGGAGAATCACTGTTGAAGAGCCACATAAACGCAACGGTCCAGTGAAATGCACTTATTGCCAAGAGTATGGACACACCAGGTCATACTGCAGTATGCAGAGACGCCCAAAACTCCGCTTACTGCACTACAAACTAGGACAGTATCGTGAAGAAATGTGGAAACTGCGGAGGCAACCATACGGAAAACTATAGAGGATATATGGTGTACAAGGAGTTAAAGAGTCGCATGCGTCGAGCGACCGCAACGCGCAACTAAAATCCACAGAATGCGTACATTGCGTCAAAAACTACGCCAGACGTCTTCTTCGCCAAAGCTGCGAGGTCCTCATTCGGTCCACTTAACACCACCAACAGCTTCTCCCATGCCGATGCTCTACGATCTGGAAGGGAAATTCCAATTCAGCCTAACTCTCAAAGCGCTCAACAGGCCCCAGAACTGCCACACACTGCCACACCAATTTGGCTTCCGAAGATACCACGGAACCATCCGTCCGAAATCCGTCCGAAACCATCCGTAACATCCGAAATACGCTCAGCCTTCGAACAGCGAGGATACTGCAGCGCTATTTTCCTCGACGTATCTCAAGCTTTCGACCGAGTTTGGCTCATTGGACTCATGCACAAAATTAAAACGTATTTAACAACATACACCCACAAGCTACTGGAATCATACCTCTACAATAGGGTATTCTCAGTGAGATGCAACGCAGCTACTTCGGGCGGAACCAAAGTTGATAAAAACTTGATATATATCGCAAACATCGGATATAGTTAACCACTCCTTATGAGAATATCATAATAAAACCAATTAATTACAATAAAATATCTAAAAACAAGAAAGGAAAGCTAACTTCGGGCGGAGCCGAAGTTTATATACCCTTGCAGCTAAAACCGGATATATATCGCAAACATCGGATATAGTTGGCCGATCCTTATGAAATTTGGTAGGTTGTATCAACTGACCAAAAATATAATCTTTCCAGCTTTCTATCTTCAAAAACACAAAAGTTGGGTCATTTCCGATCGTTCAGCTATATGCCAGCTATATGATATAGTCGGCCGATCCTAATGGAATTTGGTAGGTTGGATCAACTCACCAAAAGTAGAATTTGTACTAAATTCCAGCTTTCTATCTTCAAAAACACGAAAGTTAGGTTATTTCCGATCGTTTAGTTATATGGCAGCTATAGAACATAGTCGGCCGATGAAATTTGGCATGTCGTATTATTTTGCCTAACGTATCTCTCAAGTAAAATTTGAACTCTCTAACTCTAAAAACATCAAAGTTATACCATTTCCGATCAATCAGTTATATGGCAGCTATAGGATATAGTCGGCCGATCCTTATGAAATTTGGCATGTCGTATTATTTTGCCAAAAATAGCTCTCATGTCAAATTTGAACTCTCTAACTCTAAAAAAAACCAAAGTCATACCATTTCCGATCAATCAGTTATATGGCAGCTATAGGATATAGTCGGCCGATCCCGGTCGTTCCGACTTTATACTGCGTGCAAGGGATAGAAGGGTGTTTGCAAAGTTTCAAGTCGATAGCTTTAAAACTGAGAGACTAGTTCGCGTAGAAACAGACAGACAGAAGGACAGACGGACAGACGGACAGACAGACATGCTCATATCAACTCAGGAGGTGATCCTGATCAAGAATATATATACTTTATAGGGTCGGAGATGTCTCCTTCACTGCGTTGCACACTTTTGGACAAAATTATAATACCCTCTGCAAGGGTATAAAAAGTCCAAAGCTTCTATCTTCAAAAATACCAAAGTTGATATATCTACTAAAAACCATTTTCGATCGTTCAGTTATATGGCAGCTATAGGATATAGTCGGCCGATCTCAGCCGTTCCGACTTATATACTGCGTGCAAAGGACATGCTTACATCAATTCAGGAGGTAATCCTGATAAAAAATATAGGAATATACTTTATAGGGTCGATTATATATCCCCTTCACTGCGTTGCACACTTTTAAGCCAAATTGTAATACCCTCTGCAAGGGTATAACAATTGGTTAAAATTAGTCTTCAAATTATGTATTTTCATTTTTAAAGACAAAGTTAAGCAACCCACGAAGCCACAAACATATGGACAATGTCGACAAATTTTCATAAAGAAAAAAACGGTATTTCTTTAATAACTTTTGAACGAAATGTGGGACTGAAATGGTTGAGGTCAATCGTCACGTATTCAACATTTAAAAATTTTTACCATATAAGTTTCCATTTCTTCAATTTAATAAATGCATTAATTTCATCAAATTCAATTACTTCAATGCCCATCATCCCCCAATATTTAGTGATCATTTCACAAATCATTTCACTTTTATCAAAATTATAAAAATGGGACCTTTTTAAAAGTTTTTTTACGAGTTAACACTATTCCCCACCTAATGTTGTGTTTAAGAAATTTCTTAAATTGTTGTGTTTAAGAAATTACTATAAATGCATTTTGCAATAATGGTATATTGAAAGAGGTCTTTCCACACTTCCAAACCCTTTTTGGAAATCTACAATTGATTTATTAACAAAATAATGCCCCCATACATACGGCCATGGTTGTTAAATCGTATAAAACTAGCCAACAGACATGGAATTATTAATGTGGCCACCATATTCATCGGACTTGAATATCATTGAGAATGTGTGAGGATGGCTCATCAAGTACATATATGGATCCGGACAGCAATATTCAAAGCTTAATGCAGCTATCAAATCAAGTTTTTAATATCAAACACACTATTAAAAACTTTTTTTTTTATTATAAAATATGTTAATATATTCTACTTCAAGTCATAATTACATCCGAAAGGAGGTGGAAAATTCTGAAATGATTTTTAGTTTAAGTCCTATTAAAGTGGTGCAAAATGAAGACTCCAAAATTTGTTACTTATTTTTTGAACAATTTTGTTCTATACTTACAAATTTTATTCCTAGATGGCTTTGTTTGGCAGCAATTAACTTTAGAAAATTTAGTCTAGAGGTGTTCTATTCAAGTGGCGAGCAGTGTATAAGAATATTGAAATGATAAAATCAGTTTGTAATGGGCAATCCAACTATTAGGAACATTATAAAACTCATTTTTAATAATTAAATAATCTATAATATTAATAATTAAAATATCTTCTCTTATTTATCGGTATATCTGCTCTTAAAATAAAATAAAACATATAAAAATTGTCCCATTGGAATTTTGATTTGTAGGTGTAGATTGCGTGGCAACATTTTTACACATTAGTTTAGGAATCGGTATATAAATGTCTATAACTCTAAAAGTTTGACCGATTTGGATGCTTTTTGGTTACCAGATTTAAATTAGCCGTATAAATCGTTTGGCAGCCATAAAAATGTTTTGGCATCCATGTGTCGCTACTAAAATCGTTCAGTAATATGGCAGGTATAGGACATAGCCGGCTGATCTTTCTGAAAATAATGTTGTGTTAGAGTTAGGAAAAAAAACTCAACTCAAAACTCACAAAAAAAACACTAAAGCAGTGGTCGGCACCCCAATACATTGATATGATTTCAATGCAGTGGTCGGCACCCCAATACATTCATATGATTTTACCGCATTAGTGTTAGTAACGAATAGCAGAAAGTAGGCTTTGATCATGACGTTTCACACATTTATACTGTGTGTGTGTGGCAGAGCTCGGCAGAGAAATTTCCTATGCCCCCGAGATAGGGCCGTGCCGACCTCTGTTTTAATGCATTAGTGTTAGTAACGAATAGCAGAAAGAAGGCTGTGAGCATGACGTTTCAGACATTTATACTGTATGTGTGTGGCAGAGCTCGGGCAGAGAAATTTCCTATGCCCTCGGGATAGGGCCGTGCCGACCACTGCACTAAAGTTATGCAACTTGCAATTTTTTTTGTTTTAATTGTTATTTTAAGGCGTGTTCTGGCGTGTTATTTGGTTAGAAAGATTTTTTATTTAACCATTATTTTTAATTTTTATTTTTTGTCCGAACTATACAAACGTTTGAAAATACAGCCCTTCGAATCGCCACTGGGGCCCACGTCTATCATGACAATCGCACCATCCACGAGGTTCTCAATTTCCTTGGGTCAAGGACGAGATCCAAAGAAGCAGCGCACGCTACATGCAGAGGCTCCATATTCACCCGAACCTGTTGGCAACAGCGAGCAGCGCAGAAGACTAAAAAGGACGCACCCGCTGGACCTCCCTGGATATCCTTACCATAATCTTTAAATACCATAAGCTAAGCTAACTTACTACTCTAATTTAGTCCTCCAATATTAATATGTAAAATTATCTATAAGTGAAGCTCATGTGATAACATTTAATGGTAGTCCCTAAAGGACAGTTTTAAATAAGCGTTATCCTGCTATAACAAAAAAAAAAAAAAAATATTTTGTCTTGGCAATCTCGGCTACTCTGTTGAGAAAACAACGGAGTTCAATAAATACTCAAAACCTTAACTCTTTATTAATTGTTAGACTGAACTTTAAATAAAAAAATAATTGAAAAAAATGATTCGAAACAAAATTTGGAAGCCAAAACATTTTTACGCCGTCGTGCGAGCAGTGAAACATACATGTAAAAAGTTCTAAAAATAGAATCGTATGCATGTCCGTTCCCCCCTCACCAACAAGTTCAACGAATAGAGTTGACCGTTTCAAGCCCTAATGTCCTATGTATGTACGTATTGATCATCTTTGGTTATACATAATATGTACATAAGTATGTATGTATTATGTATGTATGTATAATACATAATACTCCTACAATGCTCACGATGTTCAAGTTTTTTTTTAAATTTTGCCACGCCCCTCCCGCTTCCGAAAAGTACGAATTTCTTAAATGTCAGTACAAAAAGGTTATTTAAACAAAAAAGGAAAGGAAACTTCGATTGGAGCCGAAGTTGATATACGCTTGCAGTTAAAACCCGATATATATTGCTAAAATCGCAATAACCAATTCATTACAACACAAAATCTAAAAAAAATTCCAAACTTCTATCTTCAAGAACACCAAAGTGGGTATTTTTACCAAATACCATTTCTGGTCGTTCAGTTATATGGGACTAACTTCTATCTTTAAAAATACCAAAGTTGGTATTTCTACCAAAAAACATTTCCGATCGTTCAGTTATATGGCAGCTATAGGATATAGTCGGCCGGTTCTTACAAAATTTTGCATGTCGTATTCTTTGGCCAAAAATAGCTCTCATGTAAAATTTGAACTCTCTAACGCTAAAAACACCGGAGTTATACCATTTCCGATCAATCAGTTATATGGGAGCTATAGGATATAGTCGGCCGATCCGACTTATATACTGCGTGCAAAGGAAAGAAGGGTGTGTGCAAAGTTTCAAGACGATACCTTTAAAACTGAGAGACTAGTTCGCGTAGAAACAGACAGACAGAAGGACAGACGGACATGCTCATATCAACTCAGGAGGTGATCCTGACCAAGAATATATACACTTTATGGGGTCGGAGATGTCTCCTTCACTGCGTTGCACACTTTTGACCAAAATTATAATACCCTCTGCAAGGGTATAAAAAGCTATTAACCTTACACATTCTACTTTCCTTTACGCGCATTGTACATACATATATTTACAGACATGCATACGAAGGTCGGAACTGCCTATAGCTCCCATATTACTGATTTATGGAATTGATATTTTATGGCGTTGGTGTTTTTTTAATAACAGGGCGACTTTTTTTTTGAATGTTTCTTCCTTTTAACTCAAATTATCTAATATACATTTTGTATTTTTTCTTACAAACATCCAATCCATTGCTTCTAATATTTCCGTACTCGTCATAGGCACTGTATTTTCCATAATAAAGACCTTTCCTCTTTCCTTTACGTTTATTCTTTTCCAAATCGGATATTGGATCATCGATACAATCGCCCTTTTTTCTCTGCCTTTGACGTAAATTCCGGCGGATTGAATGGTTAGGGTCTACATCTGAGTTCATTGTTCTCCGAATTTAATTAGTTTTACAAATCAAATTTATATGATAATCATTGTGGTAAAGGGACGGCTTATATTGTTGAACCTCTGATCAGGGATGATTTTGATATTGACAAAAAAACGACTATGATGCAGCGATTTGGAACAAGGTAAATGTGAAACTCCTATATTATATACATATAAATATAAAACAAAATATTTTATTTTATATGTGATAAAATTAACAAAAAATTAATAATAAAATAAAAATTTTGTTATTGGTATTTTTTAATTTTGGTATTACATTTTATTTCTTTTTTCTGCAAGACTAACAATCCCTGAGCAAGAAAATTCGGATGATTAGAAAAAACAGTAACAGGTAACTTCGTTATCTTGGGGGATCTCCAAACTGCTTAGTGCAAGCGGAGGGGGTTTTTATATATTAAAAGAAACGTTACATGTTAACACTTCTGTTCGTTTATGTTATTACGCCACCCAGACAGCCACCTTTCCACTACTGTAAGATTATCAGTGAGTTGGTTGGTTGCTCGGATTTGGCTACTGAAGCTACTAAAGACTCAAGTGCCTTTTTGTTTGAATTTTTAGAAATGGGTTTCATGTTTTGCATGACTCCATTTAGCCAAACTAGGTCGAAAGTTTCTGATACGAGAAAAATAGCAGTTACCACCGTCATAGATTTAGCGTCAGATTTTAATTTTGAGACAAGTGTTGATAAATGTTAAAATGCGCATACAACCTTATCGATAAATTTTGTAACAGCTTATAAGAATAAGTCGTCTAGAGAAAGCTACCGCGAGAAGGAAGAAGAATGTGAAGATAGCAAGCAAGAAAAAGATGAACATTTCAGACAAAGACGAAGTTTTTCTTAAAACATTTCATAAAAACTTTGTTACCTGCGGATTACCTAGTGTGCGATAAAGCCAAGCAAAGGCGACGCGTCCCTTTAGAGCTAGATCGAGTTGAGCACTTCGAGTTGTGACGGCGACGAAGACGACACTAAGAAAAAGGGTTGCAGCGATATTGCACCATTCAGCATTATGGTCAACAGTACAGCAAACAAACACGTTAAGTCGCAATGGCTACCCCCTTACAGTACGACAAAGCGCAAGCAGTCTATACACTAATCAATAGAACCCAGAATTAACTACTGTTAAAGATGTATTCCAAAGACTGAGAATACAAGGCCATGCAGTGCCAATGTGTTTACATCAGTCGAAACCTACGTCAAGAAAACTCTGTCCCCAACAATCGAGAAGTTCTACAAGTCCTTATGTCGATCTTCGATCCATAAGGATTTTTATTATGCCAGTCGATTGGGCTACTTTTTCAGCGTAAATGGTGGCTAAATATTAAATGGGAATAGGAGCTATCCGAAGAAATTAAGAAAGAATGGCGCCAATGGAAAACCATTTTAAAACAGTTAAGGACTTTTGAGGTACCTAGATGATTTTTCCCAGCCACATCGGAGCCATGTCAAATTGGGCTTCACAGATTTTTAGACGCCAGCGAGCAAAAATATTCTGCAGTCTGCTATTTGCGCCTGGTAAGGGATTACAAAGTTGCAAGCTTATGGGAGGCACAATTAGGCCACAACATGATGAGCACCCTTGAGCGCAACCTGCGAATCGACATCGTCACACACTGGTCGGACTTAAAACTATGGACACCGCGACTTTCACCAGTTCGTGATGAAAGTAGCCGAAATTCAAGAAAAAAAACTCTGGTTAAGAAATGGCGATGGATCGCTTCGAATCTGCATTTAGCAGACAGAGCTACCAAACAAGAGACGTTTGGCGAAACACAGCAAGAGACCTGGATAACGGGCCCGGAGTTATTGAAAACCGATTCAAGCAATCGGCCAACATGTATAGCGAATGTTTCAGCTCTGTTTTGATCTCTGCGTGCCCAGCATACCTAGGAGTTTCTAATCAGGGTGGTCGCCCTCCACAGGGGATACTCTGTACTTTGAATGTACTGCAGATTTGCATTTTCTTCCTGTTGCTGAAGAGCCTGATTGATTGAGCGGGTGCCTACCTTATGGCGTTGCTTTGAAGCTGGTCATCTTCCGTTTTGCAAATCAGGATGCGTGCGGCTCATTTCTCGCACAACCTGTTGGATTTATAGTATTTGTTTGGGTCTAATTTCTTCCCTTGAGGAATAGAGATTTTAGTTGCCGCAACGAATACTTCTTCCAGGGCGCTCGTAGTGTAGTCGATGTCGGAATCACATTTTTAGCTTTTTTAGTTTTAGGTTATTTTGATAGCAAGTAGATCTGGGCTTTCGTAGAGCGTTCGGGGGTATGTTAGGCAGTATGTGGCGGTTCCAGGGGAAAAATAGTTCAGTTCATTTCTCATATTTATAAATGCATTGTAAAATTGCCTTTATTTGGGAATCTCGAGAAGTGATCCCCAGTGGATATGTTTTACATTGTAATCTTATGCGGTGATCTCCAAGTGAATTAAGAAGTTCATAAAGGCTTCCATTACCTGAGTGAATTTGTAGCGATGTGGCCTGCAGGAAGTTTTTTTCAAACCTTTTCTGAAAATGGATGCGTTCTCTGATTAGAACTTCGGTTTCGACGTGGGCTTTAGCATCCGGTTGATCTGTGCGGTGGATTGTATAGCCTTATTTGAATGTTTTATTTGCTTGTAAGATGCGTTTCCATCACTAGCAATAACATCAATATGGTTTTCGTACGGGAATTGCAACAATTCTAGTTTATGCCGTTAAACGCCATTAAGTTTGCACTTTGATATTCGTAAAGCCTGGATAGAATTGAACTGTTTTGCCACGAGCAACTGTATAACCATGTTGTGGTTTGGAACAAGTGTTTGCATGGTCGTTTTCATGAATAAAATTAACACCATTATACCTTGTTGGAGGGTAAACATCATAGCTTTCTTTTTGATGTTTGGTTTTCCTGGGTCGCAGTTTTTACATTTTTTTAAGGTAACATCTTCCTCGTTTGTAGTGCAGTAAGCTGAGTTGTGAGCGTCCCCGCAGACCATACAGACAGCCCGAAGTGTGCAGTATGCCATAGTTTCTCTTACTGCACCGTTGCGTTTATGTCTTTTCCACAGTGATTCTTCGAGGTATTGTAGCTTGTAGATTGGTTGGTATTCTTTAACGTTCTGATATCTGGCTCAAAGTCTACCTTGACCTTGTACCCGGAACCGCTTTAGCACTTTCCGAAGTTGTCGTTTTTGTACTCGCCGTTGACGTCGCGGTATTTCGTATTGCAGTATTTGTCGCTGCGGTTGCTGAAATTGTAGCACTGCTTGTTGTTGATGTAAAATTGGTTTCCGCCATTGGAGGGGGGGTCTTTCTATTTCGGTGTCGCGTGTTAAAAAGAAAGAGTAGAAGCCGGTTCTTTGATATAATGGTAATTCTTTTGATCTTTGCTCTTCAACGTTGCTCTTATTTGTTGAAAAAAATTATGACCAGTTTTGTTTTATCACATATTTTTTATAAGATTAAGCTTGTCTATAGCTTTTATTAGTTCAGCATATTTTCGCTTATCTTGAGCTACCCCAGATTTTTGGTTTAGTTAACTAAAATTCTTTTAAACTTTCTTTACGTCTTCCCGGACTTCAACGAAATACGTCCCCTCAGTTCCAGTTCCATCCAGTATTAGTGACGTCGCAACATCCATATCATACACACAACTCACGTGTTGCCTATATTTTGAATAAATGACAGAATTGAGAAAAAATGTAACAACCAATCCCGCCGTTAATCCATTTAGCCCCTTTTAATCTGCTGCGTCTTTTTTTGAGCCCGCTACAGACGTACAGTTTACTTCCGACCTGGTGCACTTCTACGCGGGGGAGGTAACAGGGTTAACAAATGTATATCTTTACATGCAAATTGATCGCACCAATCAAATTATAGAATATAATTATTTAACCAGTTATATGGCAGCTATAGGTTATAGTTATAGTACAACGATCAATTTGCCAAAAATACAATCCATAGAAAATACCAACTCATCCCAACATCTAAAATACACCAATTACAGATATATAGAAGATGAAAATTACCCTCCTTCTGATAGCCGATTAACACAGTTGACAAAAACACTTCCAGTACAAGCACAAACTCTAAAACACAACATTTTTAATCTTACTTGAGCACACAATATATATATGCACGTATGTGTCTAATGTATGTACATGTGTCCGTTTCTTAACATGGCCTATGGTAACTCAACTTATAGGACTGCATTTTGACTTTAAGAGTTGTCGCAGATATAAGCAATGTACCAAAACTGATTCTCAAGGACTATCTCCAAAACGAAACGTAATTTAAAAAAATTTAATTTCAGTGTATTCTTTTTTTCAATTTACACGTTTGTTGTATCTATTAAAAAAGATATTATAAAGATATTATAGAAAGCATGTCTGGAGAGCCTTATAGTTATAAAGTTATGCATCATTTGAGAACTTTGCTCAACTTTTAAACGAATGTTATTAACTAACATCTCCAATATATTTCAGGATTACCAACTGACCAACAAAAAACACACAGGTTTAAGGTTTTAGGTTTAATTTTGAAAGAAGAAAATATGTATAGTTTTATTGAATAAATTCTAAACGAGTCGGTTTGATTATTAAGGTGTCAATTGACGCGTTTTCCAAACTAGAATGGTATTAGAGAAAAATATTTTTTCGGGATATTTTTGTCAATGTCCCAAATAGTCCCAATTTAGTAAATTAAAATCATTTCACATTTACGCAAATTCCTCCCAAACTGAAAAATGTCAAAACGTTTTTTTTTTAATTAGTAAATTAGAGATATACCTTTTGATTGGTAAAGGATTCATTCAAATCCGGCGCACACAGCCAATTTTTAATTTTGCGGCTATATAGGGTTTTTAAGCCCACGCTAAGGCTTGCGTTACCTTGTGTTCTGTAGCCTTAGCGCCTTGCGCTACCTTGTGTAATCCGTACCTTGTGTACTGCCTTCCACAGTGATATATGTTCTTCAATTCCGGTACGGTTCTTGAGCGCACAGTGGGACAAGTCATGTTTGTCACATGCAAATTAATCTTTGCTTATATTGATTTTTCTGCATTTATGTACAAAAATTATTTTTTTTATCCTTT